TATTTGAACCACTCTTGGTACTTAGCAACCTTGCTAAAATTCCTTAACTCAAATTGAGTTTAGTTGTAAGTTTTTAATTCTCTTTAGAATTGCAATCAACGATTGCTTACAAATTGTTCAGACTATATCTCTTGTAGAAAGGATGTGATTAAAATACAAAGCACCCTAAGCACTCACAGGTGTTTCGCTCTTTTCTCTTATAACAGTAAGTAATACAACAATGAAGCTTAAGAGTATTTCTTTTCTCTTTTGCTCTTCTCTTCTCTTCTCTTTTTTCTTTTCTTCAGCTCGATGTATTATTTTTCTTGAGCTCTTTCTTTTCTTCTCTCTTGAGTACTTGTAGGATGGATGTTTCGTTGTAAGCTTCTCACTTGACTATCCTCTTAAGCTATCCTCTTAATTTTCCTTTCGAAAGTTCTTCTATTTAAAGGCTTCATGAATATTTGTCCGTTAGACTGAGCTTTTAGCCTTGATATTCGTGCTTTCTCTTTCTTCGTTGTACAACAACCATTGGGTAAATCAACTTGTTAGAGTATGCATGCTTTTTCAGTACTTTGCTTTAAGTAGGTTGTACATTTTTTTAGATATGGCTTCAAGTGAAGAACATTCTGTGAATATCTCCTTTGTCTCTAACGTCCACTTTTTATATTTGATCTGTAGCTTTGTGGATTCGTGTAGAATAACTTATCTACAAAGAGTAGTACAATTGTGCATGCAACATATATGTTTTTTCTTATCACTTTTGTTGTTTTTGAACGTTGAGCATTTAATGTCATTTAATGTTTGCTCAGTACAACAAAGTGCTTTGTATAGAGACCAAGTGTTGTATAGAAACTTCATCATTGGACGAAGTATTGTTTAAAGAAGGGAAATTGTGTGTGCCCCAAGGATCACATGGAAAACTCCTCATGAAGGAGTCACATGAGGGAGGTCTCATGGATCACTTTGAAGTTGATAAAACTCTAAATATTCTTCAAGAAAGATTCTATTGGCCCCATCTAAGAAAAGAGGTTCAAAGGTTTTGTCATCAATGCATCACATGCTTGCAAGCCAAGGCTAAATCTATGCCTCATGGCTTGTACACTCATCTCCCCATTGCCTCCTCTCCATGGGAAGACATTAGTATGGATTTCATCCTTGGTCTTCCAAGAACTCAAAGGGGATTTGACTCTATTTTTGTGGTTGTGGATAGGTTTAGCAAAATGGCATATTTCATTCCATGCCACAACGTAGATGACGCGAGTTATATAGCCAAGCTCTTCTTTAGAGATGTGGTGAAACTCCACGGCTTGCCTAAGACCATCGTGTCCGATAGAGACACCAAATTTCTTAGCCACTTTTGGAAAACCCTTTGGTCTAGGTTTGGAAATAAGCTCCTTTTCTCCACCTCTAACCACCCTCAAACGGATGGTCAAACCGAAGTTGTTAATAGGACTTTAGGAACCATGTTGAGGGCTTTTTAAAAGGGCAACCACAAGTCTTAGGATGAATATTTCCCACACATTGAGTTCGCATACAATAGGGTGGTGCACAAGACCACCAAGATGAGGTTGTATATGGTTTCAACCAAGGTTGTCAAACTCGAGAGTTTACATAAACTCATAAGAGTCCAGTAAACTCGACTCGTAAACTCGAATCGTAAACTCGTAAGAGTTTACTTTTTTGAAAAAAAATATAAATAACATCTAATTCAAATGAAATAACAAAATTATATAAATTTAAATACATAGTTTTATAGAAATATTACTCCTAGAAATATTGTAAAACATAAATTAGAAAAAAAAATTAACAGTGTTTATTTTTGAAAAAAATAAAAGGAATAGTGCTTGTAAAATGGTGCACTGCTTGTAAAACAAAATATTTTTAAAATATGTGTTGTAGTAGTGTAGAATAAAATATCATTAAAATATATGTTGCAGTGCTATGAATGAACCCAACATAAAATCATTAAAAAATAGATATGTTGCAGTTCCGTGCCATAAACTTAACATAAAATTATTAAAAAAATATATGTTGCAGAGCGTCAAGGCCATAAACCCAACATAAAATGTTTAAAATATCTGTTGCAGTGTCAGTGCTATAAACCACTAAAACTTAATGAACCCAACCGAGAGTTTGCACTTACAGACGACGCAAATGGCAGGAACGAAACCGAGATCGAAGGAGGAGATCGATGGCGAGACGGAGGCCGAGTTCGAACGTCGAGATGGACGGCGCGACGGAGGGCGAGATTGAACAACGAGATAAAAGGAGAGAGTGCGAGAACGAAGATGAACAGTGAAAACGAAGATGAACAGTGAGTGAATCTTTTAGAAAACCTAATCTGGTGAGTCCTAAAAACGTAGTCATTTTGTGTTTTCAAAATTTCTTCCCAAACTCGCAAAATCGGAACCAAACTCGCGATTTTAAGCGAGTTTAGCGAGTCTACCACCGATTCCACCAATCCTACTCTGAAAACAAGTTTGCTTACGAGTTAACTCGAAAGCACTGTGTGAACTCGTAAACTCGACCGAGTTAACGAGTTAACTCGCGAGTTCAATAACCATGGTTTCAACCCTCTCACCCCCACCTTATACCTCTCCTTACTCTAGTGATTTCATTCATAAGGAAGGGGTATCTAGGTCTGAATTTGTTAAAAAGATTCACGAAAAGTTAAATCACAAATTCAACAACAAACCGAGAGGTATACCAAATACAACAAAAAAAGGAAGAGAAAGTTGGTTTAAGAGGAAAGGGATTGGGTTTGGCTCCACTTGAGCAAATATGATTTCCAAAACAAAGGAGATCCAAACTCAATTCTTGTGGTGATGGACCCTTTAGAGTGCTCCAAAGGATTAATAACAATGCTTATAGGTTAAAGTTGCCAAATGAGTATGATGTGAGTGCTACTTTAAATATTTGTGATCTAACCCCTTTTGTAGTTGATTTGGAAGAATAACGTCTTGATTTGAGGTCAAATCCTTTTCAAGAGGGAGGGGATGATGGAAAATTCATAGCTAAGAGTTCAACCACTAGAAGTATGGCAGAGCTCCTCCAAGAAGAACCATCTGAGGGAGAAATAAAGGTTTGCTTCACTTGGGCCATCATGGAAGAAGTAGTGTAGGATTTAGGAATTATATTCGGCCATGTAGTGTAGGTTTGATTAAGGCTTGTATTAAGGCCTAAGTAGCATAAGATTTTCCTTAAATTAGATATCCAAACCAAGTGGAAAGTGTTTGTCATGTGTCATGCTTCCATCAGAGAGGATTTGCATTTTAGAAGTGGACACATGACACCTTAGGAGTGGAGAGGATTTCTTTTTGGTAGTAACCACATGTCCCTCAAGCATTGGAGAGGATTTGTGACACATGTCTCCCTCCTAATGGTGGACAATATTTGGCCATTAGCATGCATGGTGGCTAGGTTTTGCTTTTAGTTTTTCAAAGATGCTTTTAGGGTTAGAAGGAGACACCCTTGGCCTATAAATTGAGGTGTCTCCACCCTTGTATTTCATCTTGGATTTAAGTAATGTTATGTTGCCAAATTGTAGCCATACACTTCCTTGATTAAGACTAGAACAATCCTAGAGGCCCTTCTAGTCACCTACCTCATGGAGCTGACATAACCTCTCCTTGAACCATCAAACTACACACCATCTTCACCATATCACTCAAAGATGTGAGGTTACCATCTCACCACCACCATTTGTGTAACCAAACCACCTCCCCCAACTCATTTCCGCAACCATCTTCTAAGTTTTGGCCCAACCTAGCTCAAGGAGATTGTTATCATTTCTTCCAAAAGGAGTGACAAGTTTTGAAAGCCCTCAGAGATATAAGAAGTTTGGGTTCCACTAATTGCCATAACAGGGCACACAACTGGAAATCTGCTTGTTTCCACTGATCAACTTACATGGCTTCCTTCTTGCTCAAGGTGATCATAATGACCTTGGCCAAGAAACCACATTTCAATGGTAGCAGACCAAGATAGGTATTTTTTATCATTTAACTTCTCAGAAGTGATTGAGGGACTTCAAAAAAATGAAATGGCACTTCTAGATGCCATTTCTAATTAAGGGTTAAAGAACCAGCCAAGAAAAACCGAAAATCTCTAGGTGACTTTCGAAAGGGTTGCTTCTGGACGTTATCAAAACAAAGTTCTGCGAGGCAGAACAGAGAGAGGAGAGTCTGACGACAGCTATGGAGGTGGTGCAGTGGTGGTCCTGCAAGTAGAAGGTCGCGCGTGAGCAACACACACCTGTGTGTGGTGCACAAAGATGATGTGTGTGGCAGCTTGTGGAGGAGAACTGGACTCCGACACTTACGGGGTTGGTCATCGCGGAGAGAGACAAACCAGATCCGGTGGTCACGGACGAAACTGTGACGGTGGCCGACAACGGACGGTGGCAGACAATGGCGGACAGTGGCAGATGGCGTCGAAACGATAGAGGACAGAGGTTGATGATGTTGGATGGTGGCAAACTGTAGTGGACAACTGCAGATAATGGTAAAATAGTGTCGGACAATGGTGGACAACGACAAGTGGCGTCAAACAATTGCAAACAACAACTATAAGTGTCAACAGAGGAGACTAGATAGAAACCAGAGTGGGATCCCGCTTTGAAACCAACTTGAGATTGAAACTGTAAAATATATTTCTTGAGGGCTTCCCTCTCACTTTCATCTATTTATAATAAAGTTCTGATACAAAAATACATGGAAGATTAAGGGTCTGCCCTAGACACTTAGGTGTAGACCTAGGTACTACTATAGATACTACACAAAAAGACTAGTACCCTTAGGTAGGCTTAATGATGATACATAGGTGCAATTATTCTAACATAAGTAGCTTTTTTATACATAATGTGAGATTCCTAACACAATCATAAACATAATTACAATTAAGTTGGAAATGAAACAAATAAAACAAACAAATTTAATACCTCTAAAGCACGCAACAAAAATTAAAAGGAAAGAAAATTAAAATAAGAAATTCACTATAACAAAAATCAGCAAGTTTACCTCATCCGTACTTTGAGATACATCATCTTGATCCATGCTAACCGAACTTGCACCAAAGCTTAAGAGGGCTTCAGAAAGCATATCCTTGATAGCACAAAGTGTAAGGGCGGTCAACCATATTGGCAAGACAAGAGAAAATTTATGAAAAATTATGTTCAAAATTAACCTACATATGTTATTGAAGTCTAGTGGACACTTCCTTCCTGATAGACCACAAATACATTGTAGCTTCCCAGTCCAATCCAAATTAGTCATTCATATATCAATTTAGTGGGATTCAGTAAAAATAAATAAATCTTATCAGCTTATCAGCTTATCAACGTCCAGAATTGTTGGGAAATCCTATACCGTTTGCCTCAATTCTTGAGCACATACAACTTTTATACTATCCATCTCGAAAGGGAGAGTTATAATTATAGAAATAAAACGCAAATCCTTTATAATCAGGAATATCTATATCATACCTTTTTATTTAATCTTATATTATATCTTTATTGTCTAAAGATTCCAAATTTTCTCTATTTAATATATTGAATCTATTTTCTAAATATAAATAAAGTGGACATGTAGTTTAACAATACTTGATTAAGTCTGATTTAATAAAAATTTTCGTAAAGACTCTAGCATAGAGAAAATAAAAAGGATAATTAAAACAAATTACAATCATAAGTTAGTAAATGGTCATTAGGTCCGTGATGTGTAAATCAGTGACAATTTAATCTTAATAAAACTAATATTCTAACATGCGTAAATAGTGGGATCATTGGTCATTAAATTGCAATGTTCAAGAACCACTTCGGCACATCATATATTTTAAGGATCAATTTGCCTAAGTTTTAAAGGTTACGAATCAATTCATACTTTGTACACGTTAAAAGATTAATACTCAGATTTGTGGTTCTCAATGACTAAATAGTTACAGGTTTACATGTTTAAGGACTAAATTGATCCTTTAAATCTAAACTAAAATTAGCTTAGACATAAATTAAAATTTAACTTTTAAAGAAACCAATACAGCAGAGTTTCTAAAATTACTTTTAACTCAAAAAAATATTTTATTATTCCAATGATGTTATACAAACAATGACTTACAGTGTTGAAAGAGAAAAGGAACAAACTAAACTGAAAAAGAAGCTTACTGCACTGTCTTTGGGGCAGTGAATCAGAACGGAAGTATAAGGAGCCGGTGGAGTCAACGACGTGTCCCATATAGTTGGGGAAGAAGAAGCTGCGGAAAACTTCGCATTCGTAACTGCGGAACGAAAATTGACACGGAAATGGGGAAGCCATTGGTACCTAACATTTTTGTGATGGATGGAGAGAAAGGGAACGACGGATGAGTAGTGTATGAGGCGGCGGGAAAGGGTGGGAGAATGAGCACCGACTATGCATGTTAACTGTTTGAGGAAATGCCATGCTGCCATTTCCTTGTCCCAAAGGAAACCTTTCACGCCTATTAAAAGAGTGCATCAAATTGCTGATAACAGTAGCACTAAATATACGCGCCTATTGCTTGGAGTAATTCATTTTACTTTTATTTCAAATTGGTATTTATGTGCCTATTTTCCTGGAAAACAAATTATATAATTTTAAATTTAAAATGTAAAATAATGGAAATGATATTAAAACTAAACTAAAATTTGTATTTATAATTAAAAAAAAGTTAAAATTGGGAAGATAAAAATAAAATTAAAAGGGAATTTAAGGAAAAAAAATTAATTACATTTTTTTAAAATACTATGGTGATGTTATGTTTCACATCCCCAAACAAAATATAGCCATTTAACAACTTATAATTGACAACTTAAATTATTTACCAACTTAAAATTCATTTAGTCATTTAAATAATAATATTTTGATTAGATTTGTTTTATTGTATTTTATTTTAAAATAGATAGTAAAATGGCTGTAAGTTTTGTAAGGCTGTGCAAGTATTATTTTCTTTACACCCAGAATGCATTCATCGCCTTCCACTACACCCAGAATCTAGTCCCTCATTTTTTATGCCAAATAAATGCATCCGAATAAGGTTATTTTTGACTTTGTGCATAATCTGAATAGTATTTCCTCACAAATCTCATATATAAGTGAATGTTTCTCACTTAAATCATAGCTCACAAATCAAATCATTTCCCAACCACCGAAACAGTGAGCTCACACAATCGCAAATCCATCCTTATATTAGCGTGTACAGTGTGGCACTTTGTAACATTCCAAAATATAGTAATTATCATAAATCAGAATTAATTACAATTAACAGTAAATCAATTCAATTTTTATATAATCAGAGTTAAAAAGCCGAATGGCTTAAGGTGCAGAATTACAATAGACAAAACTGAATCAGTGAAAACTAATAACGAAAAGTTTTACAAAATAAAATAACCGAACGTATAAACCAAAAACGGACGTCCTAAACTAGAAAGAAAATACGGACGTCCTACTGCTCCGCTTTCACTTCCACTTCAACTAAGTTTTCTTCTTCAATAACGTCCTCCAGAGTAGCCTCGCCTTCTGCTCACATCCACAACGGATGATCATTGCAAGACAAGACGAACGTACACATACCATGGACAACACAAGGAAAACGAAAAGGTAAGCTTATATAATTTAATTTATAATTCAACACATACAATGAACATATCATTCCACTCAAGCACATAGTTTAACATATAACATCATGTAACATCTATAAATATATCTATATATATAAGACGACCGTCCGGACTGTATGATCTGTGTAGCTACAGGCGTCCTTGCACCCGAGTGGTGTAGTAACTGGGATACACTCAACAGCTGCCACTCGAGGTTAGTCCGTTCTTACGTCGCCCATGTTAACTTATGGACTAAGGACCTCCTGCCATTCCCACACATGAACTACTCTCCTCTACTTGAGAACGAGCACTCACGGAATATCAGGATGGACCAAGCCAGCATTAGCAATAGCCACAGTCATACTTTACCAATCAAATTATTCCACATATATGAGACATTCCTCCCTGGAACGCTCGTTCAAATTCCATAATCGTATAACCATTTAATATAATGTTCAAACATCTTAACTTTTCATATTTACCACATTTTCATTCTATGTTCCACTCTCTTAAAAAGACGAACGTTCAACTTTCTGAAGGAAGAGGACGAACGTTCAAAACCAGATTTAGAAGAACCCATTAACAATCAGAACGACTCCAGAATAATAAGACCATTTTCAGAATATTTTAAGTACCGAGAGGTCAGGTTGACTCTACTGGACGAAGATACATCAAGAAGAATACTTAACTACATTGGGAACTTTTTGTTTAAAATGGGACGACTGCCAGTCAATGACCGAACGCGCCAATATACAATTACTAGCCATTTAGGACGAACGCTTTTTACGTTCGTTAAGAAATCAATTATAAGGACGAGCGTTCAATCTAAGACCGAACGCTTCATTAATGCGAACGCTAGGTAGATGACCGAGCCCCAATCATGACGAACGCTTGGTATAAGACCGAGCGCTATTTAGGACGAACGCTTCGGTATAAGACCGAACGATATTTAGGACGAACGTTCAGTATAAGACCGAACGATATTTAGGACGAACGTTCAGTATAAGACCGAACGCTACTTAATGCAATATTATTAAATTTAAGGCGTACGACAACTCTATGTGGAGCCGAACGCTCAAACATAGTAATTCAAATAAAGACGCTCGTTCTCAAACCGAACCCTTCCCAAATGAAAGAATTCAACTCTAAGTTTTTTTTTCAGGGAAACCGAACGGTGTAAGACCATTCGATGACGATCGTAATTTATCATAGGGAATTTATCAGATCCAGATTTTCAACTAAGTTAACTCACTATTTCTCATGTGATTCTTACTTCGTAATTTTCATATCCAGGATTAATTCTCATACTATACAGATTTCATCAAATTAATAAATTCAACCATACTATAGTCATACATCTTTCATACGAATCCGATTCAACATGCATTTCAACCAACAGAAAATATATTCATACAGCACAACAGGATTCGTTCATGCAGATCCAGAACAGCACATATACATATATTTCATACAAACAACCCATATCATGCCTTCATGCAATCATACAAGTATAAATTAAATATATAAGCTTCCCTTACCTGGATAGCAGTGTACGTCCTAAGAGTATGACTTTAACTCGTTCAACTATGGCTCTTCTATACTCAACGGTCACTTAAGTTTCTTCAACTAAATCTAACCAAAGAATCGTAGAAGATATCAACTTATACCCTTGCATGCAACTGAATCTGGGTTCGCAGGAATTCCAGAAACGAGCGTATGGGTTGGAAAACTTACCGTTTACAGAATCTGGAGTTGTTCGGACCAAAATGAAGTTCACGGCGTAGGGAACGTTCCTACGGTTCTGAATGTTGAACGGAGAAGAAATGGATGAGTAACAGTAGAGAGAAGTTGGAGGTTTTTAGAGAGAAGCAGAAGAAAATGAAAGGTTAGGTTCTGAGGAAGAAGATGAGTGATGCAGGTGAGTGGGAGGGTTTTTCGAAAATCATTTTTGATCATTCAAATCCCAGACGAACGAGCGTCTCCTCTGCTGACACCTGCACCCCCACTTCTGATTTCAGAAGTTTCCAACTCGACACGTGACGCTCGTGCATGCAATGCAAAGTGGGTTTTAATTACCCGAAATAGTGACGTAGCTTGTGTATTAATGGTGATGTGACAGAGATTTGCATTGCTGATTTCCTAGATCTTACACACCTTAAAACAAATACAGGTTAAATGCTATGGTCTAAATTTAATTTGAAATCAAATTAAATGTTTAAGTTACTTTTTCATAAACAATTGTTTACTGTAATAAAAAGGAGTAGAAATATTATTATAATAGTATGAATAAAGATACTAATTATACATAAATAAAATTTAAAATGTTAAAAGGTAATTATATATAAATAAAATTTAAAATGTTAAAAGGTACTTGAAGAATGATCCTATCTTATCATAATAGTCAAAATAATATTTCTTGGATATTTTTGTAAGAAGGTATTAAATGTTTATTTTAAAAAAAGGTCCACTTATTATAATATAAAGAAAAATATTAATAATATATATAATAAAGCGTTCAAATGTTAAAATACAAATATTCTATAATAATATTATCAGTTCATAATAGTCAAATTAATAGTAAAAAAGTATCCTAGTATAGTATGTGTAAAATTATAATATGAATTAATTATTTTGTTTGAATGGAACTGTGAAAATTGACACGGTAGAAAATAAAAGAATGAGAAAGACTTAAAATATAAAATTATGTCCTTTAAATTGGGTGAAAGAGAATCTAAAGAAAAGATAAATAAATAGTGTTTGATTTGAAAGAGGAAAAAAAAGTTAAAAGAATATTATCTTTAAAATACGGTTGAATTTAATTTTACCATTAAAACTTGTTTAAAATATTTTCACGACGTCATCTAATAATTTTATAAATAGGTTCTCGAACATATTTTAAAACTTTTAATGGTGATTGTGAAAAAACATATCATAGAAATGAGTAGTGGACGTTGTGTTTTTAAACTTTGTGAAAATTAAGTAGAATATACAATAAAACAGAGAGTTAATTTGTGTATTTGAAATTTTTTGCAGCTGCATAATATTAATATTAATATCTGATTAAGACTAAATATTGACCCATGCTCAGAATCTCAGAATTACTTGGAAAGAAACTATTTCTGGCTAGGAATGTGTATAGTTTGGAATACAACCTCGTAGCTAAGCAATTTGGTTTCTAAAAATATTTACAAAAATTTGTAATAAAGAAAACAGTAAGGGTAGTATGTAAATATCGCATAGAACGTTCAACAAACACCAATCATCGTCATCTTTTCTCATCGGATAAGAGAGAGAATCGCCTCTTTACTCACACAGAGAGATATGGCAACCGCTGTTTCGTGCTCATGGGTTACCCTTTCCTCCCAAATGAAGAACATTTCTCTCACTTCCTCTTCCCATCCCATTTCCAATTCCAGTTCTCTCAGTTTCTCCAAAAGCCTCTCTCTCCCTCTCTTCTCACAAGGTACCTTCCACCAACCACCCCATTTGACGGGGCTTCTCTTTTTTCCCTTATTTCCATCAGAAGACGCGAAAGATTCGGTTTTTGTGGAGTTTTCAATTGTGGGTCTGTGTCGGGTTTGGTTTGTTTTCAGGTAACTGCTTGCCGCTGAGCACAGTGCAAAGACGCGCGTCTGTGGTTTGCGAGGCTGCCCCGAAGAAAAAGGTGGACTCCGCTGTGAAGAGAGCTCGCCAAGCCGAGAACCGACGCATTTACAACAAAGCTCGTAAATCTGAGATAAAAACCCGTACCAAGAAGGTGAAAGCTCTCTGTAATGTAAAAGGAGTTGTTTTGGTTTGGTTTATGCTTCAATTGAATGGTTTGAATTTGTTAGATTACACTGAAGAACTTGCATTTTTTTTTTGTTTGGCATGGAGTTGATCTTAACTAA